TATCCTGGCTTGAAGTCCTGAAAGACAATTCAGTCGATCAACACAACCAAGACAGTTATTGGATCGTCTCTCTAGGGACCCACAAAACCAATCACATAGCTCGAGTGAACACGTCGGATGCCTCGGGGGTGCCCTGGTGGGCTAGTCGTACTGCGCTTACCTCGCATGTCGGATGTCCGGACTTCAAACTCCGGCACGGCCAAGGGTATCAGCCACTACTGAAATCTAATGAGCTCTAATGAGAGCAAAGCTCGACTTCACTGCATGCTCTTTTTGGTGTGGACTAACCAGAATACCTATGTCAGAACAGTAGGACGGCTTTTCAAATGAGAGTGATGTGAACCTGAAGTTTGCAAGTCCCACAAATACCTACAACCAATACAAACAAAATGAACAGTGTTGAATCTCTAATAATACAATAAGACATAACACAATGCATAGGGGAAAATGGACGGATGACTCAGCTTTCAGTGGCAGACAAGATCAGGCCGTTATGGATGTGCTGATACAGAGAAAACAAAATGACTTGTAAACTCAAGTCTGCATGGATTACAGAACTCAGTTTAGGAAAAGTGGTTTGTAATGTAAGTGCGTGGTGGGTGCTGTCACATTTAGGTCCCTTGATTGTCCGTGGACCTGTTGAGTCTTGTCTTCAGTATACGCATAAGTGTTCGTACGCATGGCATAAGTGCTCGTGGTACTTTTTATCAAGGAAAAGCAAACAACCAGTTCAAGCTATGCATATCAGTTTATGCGTGATTTCAACCTGAAGTTTGCAAGTCCCACAAATACCTACAACCAATACAAACAAAATGAACAGTGTTGAATCTCTAATAATACAATAAGACATAACACAATGCATAGGGGAAAATGGACGGATGACTCAGCTTTCAGTGGCAGACAAGATCAGGCCGTTATGGATGTGCTGATACAGAGAAAACAAAATGACTTGTAAACTCAAGTCTGCATGGATTACAGAACTCAGTTTAGGAAAAGTGGTTTGTAATGTAAGTGCGTGGTGGGTGCTGTCACATTTAGGTCCCTTGATTGTCCGTGGACCTGTTGAGTCTTGTCTTCAGTATACGCATAAGTGTTCGTACGCATGGCATAAGTGCTCGTGGTACTTTTTATCAAGGAAAAGCAAACAACCAGTTCAAGCTATGCATATCAGTTTATGCGTGATTTCGGAGAAAGTTAAATTGGGATAACTGATCGCTGTATATCGTCCAGGCAGAGCAAGACATCCAAATATGGATACAGAACCATAGTTCACACCATATGCCATCACCCTCTGGTGGACGAAAGCTTCCCGGTTTATCGCTCGCGATTCATCAATTTATCGACTTGGTTTCAATCCTTATACTTCAAGGCCTAGTCATGTGTCTATGAGGGGAAGACTTCTATCGCTGAATTGCCTACCAGTGAGTATTCGGCAATCGTGTGACTGTGACGGACAAAGAATTCGAATATTCAACGAAACCTGAACCATTTACCTAATCCTGGTTATCTACTGTCCATCAGGCCGTACGAATAGCGCAACTTTAGAAACGTGCCATATGGTATTGGTCAACCGATACAACCGATAAAAAACACCCGTATCTACCATTGTCTATCCTCTATCTGTCTGCGTTTTTAAACTTGTTGCTCATTCTTAAAACCGGTTGGCTGCAGTGAGTACACCCAGCTAATAAGTTGCTGCCTAGAGAACCTGGATGTAAGATTAAGTTCCTTTGAAAGCATGCATTTTGAACTCGTAAACTGAAAGACAGTATCTCGTTGAACCCCGCTCAGAAGGTGAGAAAAAATGGAGTCGTTTAATGGGTTACTGCATGGAAATAAGCTTCCCGTGAAGAATAGGAATAACACCCCGTTATACAAATAATAACTAAAGAATGAATACGGAAGTGATTTATTAACAAAACCACTGTCCTGATTCATGAATAAACAAGGCCACATCACCGAAATCAAGGAATCCGAAATGCCCCAAAGTGCTGATGTTCAATGTGTTTGAAGTACATGGGATGTTGATGTGTAGCTGTGAGTGATATTGATGAGTACAAAGTACTTTTTAGGAGGAAGTAAAACTCATCGGTTCTAGGGTGCCGGAGCATACAATTCAACTTTGGCTTTCAGTGTTGGGTTTGAAAAAGATTGGTAGCTTTAAAACTCCAGTTCCCAAATCACCACAAATTTTTCTTTCCATTATGCGGACATATACCTGCAAATGATGTCGATGATGATTTTAAAGGAAAGCACCGTATATTTTGACGGTGAATTGTTCAATGGCATCCAGTCATGCATTTGGGTTTGTGCAGCTTCCCAAATTCGTTCATCCCAAGTTTCCGATGAAACTAGAATGTTATGTTGTAGTTAATCACTCTGCAATCCTCATAAATATCCTGGTTGCAGACACTGGTTACCAATTTTACGTTCAGATGTATATAATCATTGAGAACTAACGAAATATTCTTGACTCGCACCATATTCCCTGTCTCTACCTTAATGAGAAACAATCAAGTTGATCGCAAGAATGTGACCGGTGCTGCTGCAGTTTCGCAAGCTTATTGTCAGTAGACGATATGTTTAACCAGCCGTTTTCATCTACAACATTGTGTTGATTAAACTGCCGTGGAAGTTACCAGCACATACAGACAAATGTTACTGAACGGCACACACATCTACCATACCTATCCACAAAGAAAGTGAGTATGTTGTTGAACGAAAAACTTTGTTACTTGAATGGCACAGCTCCCGAAAGACATAAGCAGAGAGACACGTTTACATGTAGGCATAGATGACACAAATCGATAATCATGCGATACCAACTGTAATCATGTAGTATGCACGCCACGCAGCGAAAACAGTCACGATTGCACAAAACAGTGACAGGTCGCCAACACGCACCACATGGCTGGCGGTCTTAATATTCCTCCTACCATAAGTCAGCCAAACGCATTCATGAGGAGAAATCACATCTGAGAGCCGATTTATCCGTAAAGTCGACTACTGTCGTTCATACGGAAATAAATGGATTATTAAATAATTTACAGAAAAACTGTACTGTAAAAGAAGCAAATGGTTGCCATTAGTCCCATGCGGATGACGTTTGCTGTGACTTTGGGAATCGCTGTTATCCTCGGTATTGTTAGCCTCTCAACCGATTCCACAATTTTACGTAAGTTAGTTATTCTACCTCCTGCCGTTTTTCCAAACATAATTACAACCCAATCAACGGAAGGGGTCGAGGTTCAGTGGAAATTAATGCATTCCGGTTATATCATTGGGTCAATTTAAATTTGATATACTGTTTTTTTATCAACGTAAATCAGCCTAAATATACCTGAAATTCGCGGAAGTCCCCTCCAGGAGCGTGTTAATAACAGTAATATGGTGATTTTTCCAAATTTGGTCATATCAAGGTGACTTACTGCAACACATGACCGCAGTCAGAAATTGGAAATCGCCCAGGTTACAACTTGACTGATTTAGAAGAACTTTATCATCGTCACGTGAGAGTGAAAAAAAGCACCTAAATGTGGTTTCCAGAACCACTGAGGTAAAACCAAATCAAAATTTAGTTAGCAACTTGCTTTTCAAAGCGTTTTGATATGTGCGCTAATAGATAACAGAAATTGCCAGGTTAGTTTCTCTACAGCAAACTAATAGTCAGAATTTCAAATGTAAAGTTACTTGACTTAGTTGTATACTTTGACTAGCAGGTAGAAATGCTAAATGACACGAATTTTAATGTGGTCCTCATTTATCGAATTGCTTGATCAATTACGTTTTATATCAAGTGGAAAATGTTTAGCTCAAATAAATTAATTCTTCAGTGTAGGTGTTTGCAGTAGTACTTCCCATTGCGTGACTGTCTCTTCACTTCTTCAAAACCCGGATTTTATAATGGTCCACTCATCTTTTGTTTATCGTTTACTTGAGTGTGTTGGGATTGCCGTGATGTCCTGCGGTTACGGCGAAGACGAAAATGAAACTCGAGGTTTCCTGTAAAATGTCCCAGATAGTGCCCATCAACAAAAACTAACACACCTCTTCCATAATTGGACAGTGTTTAGGCACGATGGGAACTCAGGAACTGGGACGGGCATGTAGAACGGTGAAACCGTCCTTGTATTCTAATCGACTCCGTTACTAGTTTGTTCACTTGAGTAAATAAGTGAGATATCTCAATTATCATGCGAACCGAAGCCTGAGGCAGACTTTCAACAGCACATTCAGTTGAAGAGTAGTATAAAAGATGAATTCATCTGTGGTTTAGTTGATTTTCTATATGACAACAGCCTTGTTTGCAAATGGGTGTACTTTGACGCAATCTAACCGGTGCTTTATAGTACTTTAATCCAGCAGGACGAAAAATGGCATAGTGTGGTTATTGCACAGCCCCTGACGCCGCTTGCCAACAACAATTCAAAAGTGTTATCGGGCCAGCCCTCATTTGGTATTGGACTGTAAGTCGTTACTTTTTGTAAAAGATATACTGCTGGACGAAGAGGTTCCTAGACAAGGTCATTGTGAAATGAATAGCACTATAGGAAAATGGCTCATGGTTAGAAGACAAGCAAATAATGGCGAATATGACAACGTTATTTGCGGTATACCTGGTACTGCAGAAATTTGTTTTTAGTAATTTCCCCTACTATTACATACAAGCATGAGGGGGGAAAGAAGGAATGTAGCTAATGCAGATAAAGATGACACTTTTGTCATTCATTTGGGCTAACGGAAAACAACAGGTCAGGTTAAGATATACACTTCCAAGCAGTGTACGCATAACAAAGGATTGGCTCCTATAGTCCAATAGCAACCAGTTCTATTGTCTTCTCATACTATTTCGTGACACTCACATCAAACTGAACAACTGAGCCTAACTGGTCAGGTAACTTATATAGCCCAGATGAGCTGTAATTCGCGGCCGGGACTTGTTATTCTGGCTCGGTTTAACTACCTGACAACAAGGGCTCAGATTCGAAAAGTTTGCCAATGATTTGCAAATTAGCAACATCAATTGCTGGATTACCACAGGAAGGTTGTGAACTGCGTTTTGTTTTTGTCGTTTGTGGTGGTCAGCTGGTCACCATTGTCGTGGATCCCTAAGGTCATTCTTTCCACCCCAGAGTGGTCTGAAAAACAATATTCTTTTACAGTTTGCTGTATCTACCCAGATTATTTCAGACGCACCGCCAACTGTGGCAAAATAAGACAGCATAATGTGGGGCCCTTTTCATTCGTTCCTGTTGGATAGTTTTCAGATAAACGTTTTGTCGTAAGTTACAATGAAAACCAAGCCTGCGGAAGCTAAAAAGGCAACTATTAAGACCAGGGGGTGTGCTGGATTGATTTGGCAGGACAGCAATGCTTCGCGAAGGAGAACAAACAAAACAACAAGCGTGATGATTCTGCGGTCATCAGGCAAGTAAGGAAAGAACCGCAGTATTTGTGTATGTTATAGTTCTTCTCAATAAATACATCCCGTGCTGCGTTAAGGGTAGCCTCCCAAAATGGTTGCTGAGTCCATGCAGTCAGGCGTTTCAACGGGGTAAGCAAAGCACGTGGCGATCTTGGAAGCGGCTCACTTGGTTAAATTTGTCACCCGTTCAATCTGGAAGAGTTGTTTCTCGTAATACGTAAAATATCACAAAATCGTTCCAAAACTAATACGAAAAACGCTGCAAAAACAGTGAAGGTGAGCGCTGTTGGTGTACATGATCCAACCCGGTGTTATCAGTAAGTGCGCTTGGAAGTATTTACTCTTACATGACCAACCAACAATTGCTTATTGTTGACCTAATTCCGTGACTTGTAAGCCTCCTTTTGGCCGAACTACCAAACATTGCAAATTACTTTTATGCAAATATCCAGACATAATACTCCATTCAAAACTTCATTGGTTTGTCGCTTTTTCACCAAATATTCTTTTTTGGAGTGTTTATTAAATAACCACTCTTAAACAACCAGCTGTAAGTCCTGAGACATTTTGTCAATGGTTTTCCATAAGATTTTGCTAAACAACTTAATGGAAAGCGGTAAATTATTAAACGACAGTGATTTGGCTTGCGGAATGTGAATTTTGTGAACGGACAGAACTTTTAGGTAGATTTTTGCACGTGATATCATCATTTAACCCGGTTGCTTCTTCGTCATTTCTTTGGTCTTACAGAGAGACCCACTCTGTTTAGGAATTTCACTTGACGGTGGAGTTGTCGCACAGCTTTAGAACTTAACAACTTCGTCCATTCGTAATTTTCTTGTATCTTCTTGCGAATGCTAACTTGGAATGAACGTGCGTGCACACAGTGCAACCGTTTATTTTCGCATGACGCTGTAATTTTGTGTCAAATTCATGGATATACATCCAAAAGGTTGAAAAAGCCCTGGAAGCATCAGCACATGTCCTGGTCACATATTTATCATCAACAATAAAGACAGTAAAGAACGTCCCTGAAGAAGTCGAAAATGTTCGTGGAAGTCATGTGGAGGGTTGGGATCGGTGAACACGTGTTGCTTACTGCGACTGAAATCATGAAAGACAAACGTTTGTGCAAGATCTTATGCGTAATGAGTTAACGACGTGCTTAATTGGTATAGAACATCTTAGACTTTTCACTTATTGCTTGGAAAGTAACAACTTATCGCACAGTACTGGAGATTGTTTCGGTCTTGAGAACTTGATGGCCTTCTCAACTGATAGACTATCTTAAAGCCTAGGGAGTCATAATCTCTGCAAGATCCCATTAAACGAGTGCAAGCACATGAATCTATAAGGTTTTTTAGAAGGAAAATAACTGGAAAATAATCAAAAACAAAATTATTAAGTAGATAATGTCCTAGATTGTTGAACTATTTGGGGAGTAGCAGGCCGCAGCAAAATGACCACTCAGGCGTAACAAGTTTGATGACAGGGAGTGGGTATTGTTAAAGAACGGTGGTTGTTTTCACCACTTGGGGTTTCATCTAGGAGCAATGTTATCAATAACTAGACCAAACTCAGTGATCCAGTTGGGATGTTCTGGTGAGCAATATCTATCAGGATCAATTATAAATTGCTTAAACTACTCTTTGTGTTCAGGATGGAAAGTAATCAGCAATCCGTAGCAAAAGTTACTTTGTGATATACCCCACACGGGTCGCAGAACCTTCAAAAGCAAGGCGGATCATCAAGTTGGATAATATCCTTTGACCTGGTGTCCAATGTTTGATTATTTGGAAGTGGAGTCTCACTCATTTGGTACTTAGTGCCACATTGAGGGCAGTATTCAGCATACGCAATGTTATTTTTAAAGCCCTTCCGTTTTTATCCCCGGGAAATAAATCGCCGTGCAGTCCATCCTCAGTGATCAAGGGTTGCTGCTTTTTTTAAAAAGACTCAGGTTCGGCTTCCAACATCGATAGAGCGAATACTTTTGGCGCAAACTTTTCGGTGTGATTAAAAGCAAACTACTAAGCTCAAAGCGGAAACCTTCCTGTAAATCCTGTATGTATGCAGTGACGCGTGTCATCTTTTTGGTTATTTGAATTTTTCATCCTCCTTTTACTCTTTTTGGCGGAATCCAAAGTATCAAAATTAACAAAGCATTCGAAAACAGACAGGCAAAGCAAAATGCGTTCAAGCACATAGATTTACTACACGGCCTTCTCTCTAGTAAAACAAGTATCCTGACCGCAGAACTGGCGCTTCTGAATTTTGACACCACCTGCGGTTTCTCGATGGTGGAAGCCATTTAACTGGGGAGTTTTACTCAGCCGGTTATTCTTCGTTATCCCTCACTATTCTTCATTATTCACCAGTCAAATAAAAGGCTGTCAAACCCATGTTTGTAAGCTAATTAAGATGGGCTCGAGTGCCGTTAGTCATCTTTAACCAAACATCCTGGTCACTTAATTAAGTTGGCTCAACACAAAAGCGACTAATTCTCTGGTTTCTCAGTAAATTTGTTGGGATTCTTGGTGGAAAACTGCTGAAAAGTCTTTAATAGATCACGATTGCTATGATCCTCCCTCGTCTCACCAAGTAGTCGTAATGCGGAGATTTCATCAACCACATGTCTTACTCAAACGCAATTTGTACGCAGTTAGAGAAATGCATTCAGCTGCCGATTAATTTGACTTTAACCGGAAACTGAATATCTTGTTAGGTATTTCTTTCTTAGGCTGACTTTGCCGCACTAGTATCCCACTATGTTTCATTTTGTAAGATGCTTGAGATAACAAAGATTATCATAAATGATTGGTTCAGCTGGAATTTAGCTAAGTCGCCCATGAAATCGAATCAGTTTCTAAGTAGGTGTATTTCAAAAAGTCCCGTTAGTTTCCCGAACTTTTTCTGACCCATCCATGTTTCACTTTCGTCGTTTCTTTGAGATTAAGGAGTATGCTAAGTGTTGATATCAGGGAATAATTTCTTTTTTTGGATTTGATAGCTTCTCCTTGGGAAGTGTCAGGCTACGGAAGCTTATAAGCTTAAGGCTTTGGCTTGTGTGTCCTTTCACTTCTATTTGGAAACCGATGGCGAACTGAGCCTACACATACGTGTATCATATATACATGTATAAAGCCTTACAATATGGATGTCACATTTGGTGCCGGGAAACTAGATCTCTTCGTACATTAGTAGCTCATTGACGTAAACAAATATTCAAAAAAGCTTTTGTGTAAAGTAAAAAGGGCGTTTTACCGTAGGTAATCAATAGTTTTACTGATTCTGAAATGATGACAGGGTGTGGATACAGTGTATGGTGGAACAAAAGATATTTGGATAATGGGACATAGAAGAGTGAGGGAACAATGTTGTACCGAACTGAACGGTCGGTCAAAAGTGTGAAAAACCTAACTAATGTGAAAGATTAACGACAGCATAGGAGTAAGTAATGATAGAAAAGCAGCCAGTGTCAGAACTTGTGGCCTTCAAAAGTCCTAGCGTTGGAGTCTAAAAGTGGCCTGCAGACATACATCCCTCTGCATGATAATGACAAGCCTTTGGGATCCACGATTTTGAAAGTACGTTGTGTCGCTAGCTTTGGACTTCACCGTGTGATCTGTGCGTGAGATAATTAGGCAGTCAAGTTTATGTTAACAGAAAAGACTTGAGAAGCGTGAATGGTGTACTCCGACAATAAGATTTAGAACCAGTGGATACCACCTGCTACAGTGACCTATAATATGATCACGAAAACGATATTACACTCTTCGGTACCACCGAAATACTGTTCGGATAGATAGTGTAGTATTTTTATTGAAATCATGATGGAATATGGTTGGTAGTCCTAAGCTAGTCAATGCTGGACGTAGTGTTGCACTACGGATAAACAAGCCACCTCAGTTTTGATGGCAGAACAGATGGTCCTTGACACGTTGCTGATGTCCACACAAACGGCCACAGTTGCAAAACTAGATTTATTAAATGGTCCTTGTTGAAAATTCGCATAAAGTCAAGAAAATACTGAAAACGTTTGGTAAACCTCCATTACTTCAGGCGCAGCTGGAATACTGGATACAACCACCTGGTTGCCAAATGTTCCAGTGAATTATAGACTGCAATTCCTCATAGGCGAAGTGTGCTACCTCTGATCTTACTGTGAAACTTGTCAACAAAAAACCTCTTGATGTTAACTTTGCTCTGTTTTTCATCTTAAGCAAAGCTAAGAATCTTCAGCTACTCAGCATCTTGAAATTCTCAGGCTTCAGTCACATGTGCTCTGCTACTGAGTGTTCAGAGTCTTACCGTTTTGAAAACGAGACATGGATTGAGATATCCGATAAAGCTAATTCGGTACCTTCTAACCCAAACGAAATAAAAACGGCGCTCAGTTAAAGAGCCCTTGGTCATATCAACTTACAAGTCTTGAGATTCCGTTATTTACCATTTAAAGGCGGATATAAACTGCCCATCTACCAGTATTCAAAATGCTTAGGACAGAACTGTCCGAAAGGAAGTTACTTACGGTTATATTGCATACAAATGTTTTCTTTAAAAACTGCCCTGGAATCACTGCCTGTGACGCCGACAGTGAGTAAAAAGTATAGAGTTCTTAAAGTCATAGTGAAAGAGCGATTTGTAAGGTGGAATCGGTTTTGTAAAAAATAGTCCAACTTGACATTTCATCAAGAAGGGTTGATTCAGTCATTATCAAGCTTGTTTTGGGCGCCTCTTAGTGATGAGAACATTTATCGTCCACGTGTCTTCACAGTGAAAATAGTAACATCAAAGTGATGTAAAGTTTAGGGAAATATTTTATGGTTGATTTAAAAATAGTATGTAAGTTGGTCGTTGGCTTGTTCGCTGAGATGGGCGATTTGATTGCAGACGTTTCATCACCAAAAGTGGTGACATCATCAGCGCGTTATTGGGGAGCGTAGTGGTGCGTAGTGGTGGGTTAGTGGTTGTCCGTTGAGTAGTGTTACGTGTGTTACTATATACGTGCTGCTAACCGGGAATGACCTTTGATCGCGATAAGATGTTCAGTCGGGTGGTTCCATTGGTTGCTCCGTTGCCTTGTGTCCTCATTCGCCGATGCCCACGTGACCTTTGACCTTGACATCCCCAGCTGTCGTAACCTGGTTGATGTTAGAGTGACCTTTGGTGGTCGTTGGCTTGTTTGCTGAGCTGGGCAATTTGATTGCAAACGACGTAGCGTACCGCTACGCACTACTACGCTCCACAATAACGCACTGATGATGTCACCTCGATTGGTGATGAAACGTTTGCAATCAAATTGCCCAGCTCAGCGAACAAGCCAACGACCACCAAACATTCCACGAGTTTTAAAATGGGCTGTGCACAACCACCAACCCACCGCTACGCACTACTACGCTCCACAATAACGCACTGATGATGTCACCTCGATTGGTGATGAAACGTTTGCAATCAAATTGCCCAGCTCAGCGAACAAGCCAACGACCACCATCTACGATACCTGAGCTACCAATATTTTCCTCTAAAGAAAAAGAGTGACCTTTGTCCTTCGAAGTCCCGGCTTGTGACCTATATTGATTTGACTCGAAGGATTTCCCTCTTTCTTTCTTTGTGATCCAATATTCGGTCCTCTTGAGTGTCCCGGTTTAGATGTTGGTCTTTTGCACGCAGAAATGCGTAGGTTGGATCCAGTTCGATGTAAGGTATAAACAAAGAAAATGCCGTTTTTCTATGGTTCCCGTGTACACTCGTATGGCACTTCCTTCATGCTCACCTCCTTTCCTGTACATAAAAATAATCGGCAGCCTCAAGGAGCTTTCGTTCAAGTGTCGCAATTTAACACATACAACCACCACAAAATGCTGTGAGACCGGTTGGGAATGACAATTTGTTTTCCAAAGTCAAGGCAGTTGACTCTCACCACAACCAATCCCATAGGGCTGAAAGAAGGGCGCAACTAGACGTAATGCAGTACTCATAAAGTTGCTGAAAATACTTCGACATCATAAACGAATAATTCGTCTAGGTTCCATGTGAGTATCTCGCAAAACCAAATTGGTTTGCAAGTGAGTGTGTTTCGGTAAAGGCGTAACTACTTAAATCAAATGACTTTGTTAAGAACAATGTATTTCCTCTTACCGTTTTCGTAAAAATACAAATTACGTCAATCAGAACATTTCGTCTCTTGTTTTTAAAGACTTCATTAACTTTATTGATGAAGTGTGCTACATTTTATGGGGTGAGTTTGTGTCATCGCAAGAGGCCAAACCTCAGTCTGAATGGAGTTGCCAGTAAACACACTTTCCGCTCGTTTGGACTGTGTAGGTCGTAATCAACTCCACGATGCACACACACTTTTATTCCTTATCTATTGCAGATGCTGAAACTGCAAAACAAAAATCATACGTGGCATTTAGCGTGATTGGCAGCATTTTGATAATCACATCACTTCTGCTCATCCTCCTGCTGCTGCTTCTGTGTGGAGAACGGTACAAGCCAATGATGGTCAGCATTATTATTTGTACGGCAATGGGAAGTAAGTCTCATCCCTCGCCATTCATTCACGTTTTTTTCGTTTTCTAACTCCTTTACCCTTCTTATTTCATTGTGGGATTCGCCAGAGAGAAGAACTTCTAATCTGGAAATCGCATACCGATCAGGTGCGAGATTGAACGCATTAAAGAAATGCATTCATTGTTTTATATGCTCCACTGATTTCCAAAGTCGAAGGACAACCGTGTTGGCTCAGAGCCTCAAAAATGGACATGAAAAGCTAACCATTTACAGGAATGTCACATGTAAATTTTTTCTTTCAAAAATGTTTTAACCTAGAGTATTGTACGTATCACTAGGTCGATTTGAGTATTCTGCAGGCCCTGGCAAACCAGGATTATCGATATATGATGCAAGATTTGCCCGCGTAAAAACTACCTGGTTGACGGGATTTCTTGATTCCAAAACGTCTTGGTCTTCTGCCTGACCTCACTAATATAGGAATAGATATAATACGATGAAAAACTGCAAAAAGAACTTAATGTTTTTAGCCAACAACAAATGGCTTGGACGAAAGGAAACCGAGAATTTTAATTGGCTGTTTACGGCCATGACAATTTTTCGCCAATATTTTCTTATGGCAGCCAATGTATGTAGTACAACATAAAATCGAAGGATCTCGTTGCGTATTCATGCATACCGGACGATTTTGGTAGGTAGATTTAACTACGATAAAGCGAACTGACAGAGCTGTACAGGTGCACACCATGCGTACCACAAACCAAGTTTTCATACAGTGACCTGTATTTCGATGAGAAAGCTTACGATGTCAAGCAGAATAGCCAAGGTGAGGTGAGTGTGGATACTGTACACATACCGCAAACGGTAAGAAGTGTTTGTTCTGTCAAACTTTAAGTGAACTGCATTTCTGATGAACATTGGACTGCAGCGTGCTTGACAACCCGGTCCGTGGTTGACAGGACATCCAATAAAGTGCTCCAAGATGCAGCACTTGATGTAAGTTCGACTAATGTGCTTTATTCTTCAGTGAATTGTTATGCATAAGGACATACGCGATGAGTGAACGACATAAACTTACTGCTCCTAAGGTGTGAATTACCGATAAAACTAAGCGAACTGTTTTAGATTTATTTTGGTCATTAGCCTTTTCCCCTAAAGTACATGAAGTATCACTGTGGGTGAGGGCTCGTTTTGCAATACGTATGTTTTGTGTTTACTTCCCTCGCAGTACAGGTTGACATGATCACAATTCCATTGATGATAAATGTCTCAACATGTAAAACTATACCTTTACAGAATAACAACTTGTAGTCGTCAAGATCAAAATAATCAACAGATAACTTTTTTAAAGATGTCTCGGATTTTTATGCTGACACATCCCTAGCTGAATGTTACTCCCGATTCAGTCTTATGATAAACAGGAAACGAGCTGGAGCAGTCATAGGCTTAAAATTATTAATGCCAAAAAATACCTCAAATTATTCCCCTAGCATGAACTTTACGATAACATATTTGTCGTTATATTAGCCGGCCATTCTCCCAATTAGGCTTGTATCTGTCAAGCAATTTTGAGCGTCCTAAATCTGCTTTTCTCGCTCAACTTGTTGTCCGTTCTCATGCACGTTTTTAAGAAACTTAACCGACAAGAGATATTTATTGTTTATTTTTGCAAACAAGAGATTGTCTCTAGAATGGCAAGTACCTACCGTGCTCTCTTTTCACACAATTTACGCACCCAAAATCTCGCTTGCATATAGGGCCTGTTTTGGTGACTCTTGATTACTTGCAATGTGAAAGTGTTTACAATAGGTGGCTTTATCCATAAAAACAACTGACATAAAGCACTTCTGCCTAGCGGACACTCAGCAACACAAACCCTCCGTTTTCCAAACAATTATGAGACAGTCGAACTGAAAGCGCTTACTTTCACTGAGCAACAGTCAGGCAAAAAAACTAAAAACGTATAGCAGGTTAGGGTTTCCTCCGTGGATATGACCACTTTCACACGTTGGGCAAAACAGATACTCGTTTGATAGATTCGAATAACAAGGGCCAGCTTCAGTCTGTGGATGCACGAAGCTCACAATAGTTGGTCAGTGTGTTACGAAGGTTGATCAATTTCAACGACAGTTTTTTCATGGACCTATGGGTGTATCTCAATTTCCATGGTTGTCCAACCTAGCACAAGACAAAACACCGAAAAACTATGCTCGCATACCTTGTGTAATAAACAGTCGGAGTTCAAAACTTGCAACCCATCAGGGAAACATCGAGTGGAGTTATAGATGTCCATATGAGGATGATTCGCACAATGACCCAAGCTCAAACGAGAAGGTAAGGACTAACAGCGGTTACAAGAAAACTGTTGTCAAAACAGTGTAAGTAAAAGTTACCTGTTCGAAATTTACGTCCAATAAATATTGGGTGGAGAAGTTCGACAGTAAAAAAACATTATTGTTGAAATATAAACCGAAACAAGTGCATCATTGTAGCCTTTTCTGTGTTGGCGCGGTTCAAAAGTGAAGCATTTACTAAGAAAATCAAGCAGGAACTGTCAGTTCGCATAAAATGTCAACGATGTTTCGCTTAATCAATCAGAAGTTACATGGTATTCTATTACACGTGTTTTGAGTGAAAGCAACTCACAGAATGATTAAGGGTGAAGCTTCAATGTGGCAGTCTTAGCGAGAAATACCACTACTTGTGATCGCATGAGGAGCTAATCTTTGTAGCTATTCAAGTGCGAAGTTGAGCTGGCTGATACATAACGGCGTGCTTGAGCAAGTAATTGCTTAAGTGACACCGAAGGGAAGGTTGGAAAGTACTTCTAGTTGAGCAATCACGCTGTCACTTTGGAAGTGCTGAGTTGGTGCCCGTCCTTGTAAACACAACTTGATGTGTGCTCCCATTGTGTTTCGATATAAACCAAGCGATGTACTTATAATTCAGGGAATTTCTTCAGAAACATTAACAGGGCTCAATAGATGACAATGACAATATATGTGACACAATGATGGTGTAATTTTAGGAAGCCATGAAAACAGGGAACTCACATCAATCAGATACTGAGGTAGGTCAGCTAAGACGTTTGCCTTTGTTGTTACCCAATAATAAATGAGAACTTGCAAATGGGTATAGATTATTTGGGCTTTGGTAAAGAAATGGAAGCTCGCAAAGATAACTGGGGACACGAAACGACCCTTGAACGGTATCCAGAACAGGGAATACTACAGAACAATGGTCACTTCTATGTAATAAACAGGTAGGAATTTTTTTATAGCACATAAAGCAACAAGTTGTAGTCTAACAGACACGGCGTGATGTTAGACCGCTAGGTTCATCCTACAACCGTGTGTGTTTCGAAGCCACTACCAATTGACGCATTCTTCAAAGTATCACAACCAAAATTTCATCTCATGCTTTATTCAAAAGACGCCTATGGAACACCAGTTTATGATGATATTGCTTGTGACCAACTTCTTTTGTCGGCTTAAACAACCGCATTACACGAGCGTCAAGTAAACAATCTGATGATAATAAACGAATACGCTCAGACATTCGGTCGAGGAAAGATGAAAATTGAAATTCACTGGGAAAGCACAGAAGAAGAATGCTTGAAAACACCCATTTGCATACCAATTCGGTGTCGATGTGGACTCGCCTGGGACTCAGCTGATACTCTCGTTGATGATGTTTTTAAAAGTGTTTAGACGGTTGGATTTAATACCGCTAAATAATGGAGTAACAGGGTTCAACCTCTGAGTATTCCTGGTGTGTGACTCATTCACACAACTTTTTTATGCTCTAAATGTCAGTGATGTAACAGCTGTTTTGCGATTAGCAATTTTAGGCTACAAATTTGAGAGTAAACAATTATTGTGCGTATCCACCAGATAAGTTTACATTAAGTCGATGATTTCTTTTCTAATTGTACACCGCTTATAAAGTCCACCGACAGCGAGTAGACTCTATCAAATTTAGGAAACTTCAGAAGCCTGAATACGGCCGCTCAACAACAACGTTCAGCTGGGCCTTCAATTGTTGAACGAGAAAGTATGAGTTAACTGACGATTCTCCCAAAAGCATTCGTCGTGTTAGTGAAGCCAAACTATACTGAAAAGCCATACAGCTGTTTCATCCTTGTTGGGAATGACCAGCTGTACGTATCTCATGAAACCAGGTAGTCTCAGTCCGCGATTTCCGGTAAGTAGTTGAGCACAACCGTTTGTTAAAAGCAGCTGATAAGCTTTGACTAGCACTCACTCAGGTAAGACAAAGCGCTACCCATCCTTCAATCACGAAAACCACACCACACGGTCATCACATGACCTTCGAGTGGCGACTATTCAGAATCAGAATTGCTTGTGTGGACAAACTTAGATACTCCGTGACACGTGTTAGATGTGAGGCCCTTTCTCCAGCCCTCACGCGAGAACGAAGGGTCCTTCTGGGTCCATTGACAGCTGTCCACTATACAATGAAATGCCGCTGAACAAACAGTCAGATTCGAGTGATCGAACCCCAAGAATAACTGCTGTGTGTTTCTTTAACCTAGCGTATTAGATTGTGTGCTGGTTGTGTGCTGACTAGTAAACCTCGAAAGTTTGTCGGACTTTTAACAAACAATTCTTTCGGCACTGAGCAGTACCTTTGATTAGATTTAGTCACTGCTATACAGTAGTACAAATCGAGTTTTGATGAAATGGGTAAAGAACGATATACATTACCTAAAGAATTTCCAAGAGTCGAACTAAAATGTGTTTCTCGAACCTGCCTATTAATTAGCAGCCAGGGAAATAGCAGCTACACGGAAAATTGGTGTAACCAAATCAGTTTTAATCGTTTAATTCTGAATGACCAGAATTGGTTAGCAAGAATGGCCACATCAAAAAGATTATGAACCACGGTATTCTATGCATACCAACTGGTAATTATTGTTTATTTTTCGTCCAGTGATTTGCCACGCCGTTTCCGTTGGAGTCAAATCCAGTATCGAGCCTCTTCCCACTTCCGCATGGATGCTATCTACACTCTGGACGTGTGTAATAGCTGTGATTATTGCCCTGGTCTTTTTGGTTTCCGACCCGGAAAGCATATAATCATCATGTACCACAACGGTGGAAATTCTTGGAAACATGAAATTGCGTAGAGGACGCTGAAGATCATGAGCAGGTTATTTCCTAACTAGCAGAATATCAATATTCTGATTAACACCAAAGATTTTAAAACCCAATGGGGTTCGACCTTTTGAATTTTCTTATTTTTTCTATCTTACTCGGAATACAACCAGCTTTGTAAATACGTTGATGAACTTTGTCGTTCTTTTCTTGAGCAGTGTAGATAAACCAGAGGTCAGCTGGGTAATATAAGCAATTAGGGACCTTATTTCCCATGCCAATACATTGCTATCCAGCAGTCAACTGCCAAATGCAGTGTTTTTTCTATTGTTGACACAAGAAAGCATACTAGTGAGTCTTGGTAGTGATACAGTTCGGAGATGAACAGGCCTGAAGCGCACTGAAACGTAAGAATATCTGGGCGCATTGAATCAAACCAAACTTCCTCAGCAGAATCAAACGGCGCACCTGTGGAACTTTTTATAGTCTATTCGGCAATAACTCACCACAGAGAAGTCATTCGTTCCGACGGAGAAGACAAATAATCTCCTCTACATGATACTGCAAAAGTGAAATAATGTAACGTAAAGCGGCAGATCCTTGTTGCCGAACTTCTCTGCAAAGGTTTATATACACAGCAACATCTACCAGGAGCAAACTGAATCAATTACCAAATTTTAAGTGTTTGCCTTGATTCCAACAATTCATCATTCCTAACTAACAACTATTTTTTCACAAGTTGGTAGTCGCTGTAAATTGAATATTACAGTTGAATGCGTTGAAAATACTTCTGGTAAAGGAAAATTTCCGTTACAACAAATAAATACTTAAGTCATGTCAAGCTTTACAAAATTGCTTGCTTTCGTTAGACTTAACCAGCAGAATTTGGTCAGTTAACTGGTGTTTCACTTGGACAAACTACACTGGAGAAAGTGGAGATATCCCAGTCCATTCGACGAAAAGTTCATGGCAGCTACGGTATTTTGCAGTATTGTGACTTGTTGTCCCAAAGCCTTGCAGCCTGGTTGAACTTTTTGTGAAGGTTCGGTTTTCTCATCATCTAAAGTGGTAGTTGCCGTTTTTCAAGGCTGATGATGTGACTCCGACTGGTAGCGAAGAAATTACTACTAAAATTTCTGGCTTGATGAGAAACTTAACGAGCATTTATTGTACCTGAGCTACGGACATTATCCTCCATCCAGTAAAATTAGTTCATAACTCAAACGTATAGGTGACAATATCAGTTCTTTTATTCGGCTAAGTAATCACTCTAAATAAACATGACGGACCGGTTTGGGACGTTGAGTGACCTTAGTTGGCGATTTGTCGTGTAAATCTTGGTAAAACAGGCCGTGAAATGCAAAGATCCTAAAAGTAAATATCTACTATAACAAGATTTTGCAAATCGGTAGAAACCGGCAGGTATCCCACCCTGAGGCAATCTCGATTAGTCGGAGTTCTTTTTCTGGAATTTAAGGTATCCTTTCTGTAAAACAAATTTTTCGCTCTGTAGAATGACCCAGAATTTCTGGGTGATGCAAGCATCTGAGAATAGGTAACTCCACTTATGGGAAATTCCGTGCGGCTTCAGAGGCAAAACAGTTTGATAATAGCCTGCGAACCGAATCGCCGAGCCTGGAGCTGGTAGAGACAAACACACCATTAACTTACGACAAATCGCCGGAAACATTCGATGGTGAATGCCTGCAGTTCATATTCTAACCTCTGTTATATGTGAACGCAGATTCGTTTCTATGATACCTGAAGGGTTTCAAAAGCGTAGACTCTCGTTTTTATACTACGCAATTAGTTACAGGCCGTGGGCTATCGACGAACTTTCAGTGACCATATGAGTAGTGTGCTACAAATATGCATGTATCGCGATATCTAGAATATTGTGCCAACTGAAACATGAGGCGGCCTAGTGCAGCACATTCAGTTGCCTGGAATCATCACAAACGGGAGATTCAGCTGGAATCCGAGTGAGTCTCTCGCGAAAACCAAAATAGTTTGCAAATGAGTGTATTTCGCTAACTTCGTGCAATTTGATTTCAAGTAGAATATAGGGTTGACGGAAACTCTGGGACTGCGCCTACTTGATGAGCCCAAAGGAGGGCGAAACAGGTCGTGGGCTGTCAACGAATTTTTAGCAACCTTTCGAGTAGTGCATTACAAATAGTCATAAGTTACTCATTTCTGTGCAAACTCAAATGCGGCCATTGAAGCGTGTTTTGATAAGCGATTTCCACTTCAGTATGGCTGACTCTTCTGTTAAGGAATTTCGCTCTCGATAACCGGAAGTAAGCCAAAAAAATGTCATCTTAAAAGAATTTGTTAGAACTTTACAAGGTACAGTTTTTCCGTCGTGCCGATAAACCTCACGTGCGAGTTGGCTGTTCTATACAAACCCCCCGATAGGCTATATAGATACGATGGTGCGATTTTCGTATAATAATAGTATTCTTGCTAATTCCTGCTTTCCAGTGGTAAGCAAACCGGAACCAAATCGTCAATATTTAGGAACCGGGTTTTCACGGGACTAAAAGAGGATATTCAATTACTTTCATAGGGTTAATGTCGTAAACTAATAAGATAACATCTTGAAGGAATTCGATACATGAGGAGCGAGTAATAGGAGGTATACGTGCATTGTACACTGCTTGGACATATGGCCTTTCTAGAAACAATGTATCTAGAATTCCGAAGCTGAACATGGTTACCTAAAGACAGGAATATACTTCACAAATGTTCCAGTTTCTAAAAGACAACTTTATTTCACCTACGAAAGCCGATTACAGATTCTGCAGTGTGATTTTTCTCATGCAACAGCCACACTGAATACCGATTAGCTGTCACGTTCTCAGACGAGTCAGGCCCAGGATCACGTACAAAGCATTCAATTGATGAAGATATTTGTATTCTGAGATTTCTTGCCAGAATTCTCCAAGTTGAAATAAAGATTGAAAAACAAACATGCTTTCACTGCAATATGAAGTTTGTCAAGATGATGGCAGCAAAGCTTTGCCTAATCAAGTTCAAACTTGTCTGATGTGCCCTGTATTGGCTTTTAAACCTTTCTTCTATGTGCACCAGAAAAAGCCTGCTACGTTCGATTGAAACATAACGCGATAAAATAAAATCCCAGATTTCAATAATATCCACACTTCACACTTCATTTTTTCCCACCATCTAAAATGACACGGTTCTTCCCTTTGTTGGACTGACTACTTATCAAAAGGGATTTACGAAGCCGTTCTTTCCTGTCCATATTATTCGAAATACAACGCAAGATTGTGTACAAACACTGGTTTACTAGCAAGAGTATAACTCGAGTGAAAAGAATATGCCGGAAGGAAATTAACAACGTTACTTTTGTTCCCGTAGCTCAACGTGAAACCAGACAGCAAACGGTTTCCCAGTTTGTTTGATAAACATGACAGCAAAAAATGATCAACATCTGTAACACAGATGGCCTTCATAACTGGAGACAATGCGCAGTCGTTCATGCTTTCTGGCTGATAGTGAGTAAAGCTCGGCGAGCCTCACATGTGTTTCCTGAATATAACTAGCTAAGGCTTAAATTCTTCGTTCGCTGATTTATTCATTGAAAGACATTTTTCTCTCTTTGATGCATGGCTCATAGTATGCCAAAGTTGAATCACGTACTTATGAAGGCTGAGAAACTTTCTTTGAACAACAGAACGCACCACGGGAACTTGGATAATTATTACGCAGTTGTTGGCCAACTCTCGTAGAAAGAATACTGCCCACAGCAAATAGACGGTGCCTCTAGAGATCTGGATGATATGCCCCCTTTGCTCCTCTTTTCCAATATTCACGAGTGAATCAAAAATAAAAACAGTTCCCGGCATTGTGAAAACGACGTAGCATGTGGAAAGAAGGAACAGTGTAAGGGATGCTCTTAGTTGTTGGAATTCGGTGGAATGTTTCCCAAGCTTACCGCGTTTGCCGTACATTATCCTTATACGGCCATAAAATAGCACGTTCAAGGTCACGATTACAAATGGGGGTAAGATATATGAAAAGAGCTGCTCGATAACCAGTGATGCAGTACGGTCTTTCCGATACCAACAAGCGCGCTGGCTGCCTAGAGAAACCCAGGTAATACTCGATGACGTAGGTAATATTGTAAGGGTAGTGAACAATGAGGCGGTTCCCACCGCCATCCAAGCATGACGGTTTCGCAAGTGCATCGTTCTGACTGGGTAGAAGATGGCCATGAAACGATCCAAACTGGCTACTATAAGAACATTTGAGTACAACGCGAAGAACCAGTTGGACACCATACTGGTGGCTGTACATGACAGTGGGCTTATGTGTCGAACATAGAAGTAGATTGTTCCATTTGTAGCGTAGGGAAGACCTCTGGAGGGGAACAGACGTATCCAGCCAATCAAAATGTTGCTCACCCAACCGGAAATGAGCATGCATATCAGATAAATTAGTGGTCGAGTAAGATGTCGTGGTTTGCTTACGATAATTATGATTATCATTGTGCTTCCAACAAGACCAGTTCCACATATAATCGGTAGAATATAGGCACAGATCCATCCGACGACAGACAAGAGAGTACATACCATACGATCCTCTGCTCCAGATTCCTGAGTTAGTTTTTCGCATGCTTCGAGATATTCCCGCGGATTAAATGGGAGGTTTGTTGTTGGATTTTCCATATTCTGTCCTTCGTCTGCAGGCTACGCACTTTTTCGATATGCACTGAACTAAATTCGACACACCGTTTGTTTACCAAAAATTTGAAGGACTACCATTGGAGTTTCAATGATTCCGCCCACTCATATTCAGCCCCTTATTTCAGGGAGGATTCGTAGCCTATGGTTGACTATATTCCCGTAACTCATCAACTCCCATTAACTCACTGTTTGTAGTAAAATAAATAAAAACGTCTTCCCGGCTCTTTTTATAAATTTCTATCTTTTTAAAAATTCATTTATCAAGCAGCACAGGGTACGTTGATGCTATTCATATGTCGTTGCTTATCATTTCAATGACAGAAAAAGTATGAAAGCTCGGTGGGTCGCAACACTCAATCAACAATGCGGGACATATTTCGGAGAAACTAAAACACGTAAGCATCGATCAGGACGAAATAATGGTCTCATTTGATGTGAGCTCACTACTCACGTCTGTGGACCTGGATTCGGCTAAGACAACTGTGGCCGAATTATTGGACAACAACGGCACGCCAACTGGATCACTGGAGAAAGGAGACCCCTGCAGATTACTCGAATTATGCCTGATCACACATTTCGAGTTCAACGGAGAATATTATGAACAACTACGAGGGGCACCAATGGGATCGCCAATTTCAGGATTCGTTGCCGAAGTCACAATGCAAAAGTTGGAACAAATTGTGTTGCCCGATATAAATCCCAAAATATGGATCCGTTACGTAGACGATACATTTGTGATCATCAAAAGGAGCGAACTGCAACGAGTGAGCCAACTGTTAAACAACGTTTTTGACGACGTCAAATTCACAACCGAGGAAAAAAAACGGAAAACGGACGTTCCTGGACGTCCTTGTCACTAGATTGCCGAACGGACAGCTACAAACTGAGGTCTACAGAAAGACGATACATATGGACCAAACCCTCAGCTACCACTGCAACCATCCAAATTGCCACAAACAAAGCTGCGTTCGGACACTTTTCAAGCGGATCGAGACACACCACAGCACAACAGAATCCAAGATCAAAGAAGAAAAGCCCCTATACAGATTGTTTCAGAAAAATGGATACCTGCGAAATTTCATCTGGAGAACACTCAGGAAGCCAAATACGATCAATGCAACAGGACAAAGTGCAAATAAGCGAGTCACACTCCCGTACATCAAGAACACCGCTGAAATGACGGCAAGGCTCTTACGACAGCACAATATAGTGGTCGCTTACAAGCCTACGAGCACTCTAAGGAAGACACTATCAAGACCGAAAGGGAAACTAGATCCAGTGGCGAAGAACAATGTCATATACAGGATCCAACGCAAGGACTGCGAAAAACGGTATGTAGGACAAACAGGAAGGAAGCTCTCCGCCAGAATACATGAACACAAGCTCGCCACTAAGAGGCACGGTCAGTCCTCCCTCATCTCCGCACACAAAGATCAGGAAGGACACGAGTTCGACTGGAGCGGCGTCTGCATATTGGCCCAAGCAAGAAGGAAAAACGAACGCGAATTTATGGAAGCATGGTACTTCACCGAAGAGGCCATCAACAAACATATCGAAATTCATCCCATTTACCAGAGAGAACTCCAGAACCACCGAGCCTAGAGCTGCAAAATCAACCAGACGAGGAAATCATAAGAGAAGGAGGAAAACGTCATTCAAACGAACATATCAATTGGATTTGAGGAAGCGCCCAATCAAAGCACCAAATCAACCGACGGACGAAGGGACACTGACCGCTACGATGGAGAATATAGGGCGGCACAAGCAACCAATCAAACTCAAGAACTTCAGAACACAACGCAATACAAACCGAGGCCGGAGATAACAAACTACTAAAAACAGAAGGCGTGAAGATAACCAATCGACACAAAGGAACGCAGACCACAACGCAACAAAGATCACAAATGGACCAGTAGATTCACCAAATTTGTTACACTTTAAGTAGCCAACCACGTCAGAAGATAACAGATAGCCCTCGAATGCTATATAAACGCACGCAGGCAAGGAAGAAATACCCACTCAACTGCGCACTGATGATGTCTCCTCTTATGGTGACGAAACGCTTGCAAACCAATTGCCAAGGTCGGCGAACAGATCAACAGCCACCTGATCAACAATCAATAAAGCTCGAGTATATTTCGAAAAACTCAGTTTGAGCTGCCGATATATGTGAAACCTAAGAATAGAATACTTTCGTACAGAATTCTTTGATGAGTCGTAGCCAACCTCAGTAGTCCTTAATTATGCTGACCTACCAGCAAGTTGTTGAAACTTCACCGATCTGGTTGACCAATCTGTGAAGTCATACCTCTTTGTCGAACGAAGAGACATTGGTTTAGTTCGATGGCCAAACAAATACATCCGAACAATTTTAAAGGCACTCGGAAATAAATCCAGATTGCCTCGACTGAACAAATGTGCTAAAAACCATTGCATTCGATATGGTCTTTGCGCCGTCAGTCGAAGAGTGTGGTGAACAAGAGATTCTGCTGATATTCTGTTGGGTCGAAAGGTAAAACCAGTTTTATTTGCAACCAAAGGTATTTCGCCAGTGATTCACCTCCTTCAAAAATAATTGAAAGGTATGAGCTACTGCCAGTAACGCAGCTCATTTCTGAATGAAAGTATTGCCGAGCCGTTCCCAGTTGAAGCGATCCAGGAAGATTACACTACTTTCCAATACAGTGCATGCAAAAAGTTCATCGCTGATGCGCACAAGAGAGTGAGTTGAGGATGGGTGATCCAAGTGAGGGGTCCCAGTGACCCCTGGCCAAACTGCTTGTACCTGCAGACAGTGGGTCTTTAAAAAGGCCAAATCGCGCTTCTCCGATAAGACGTCATCATTCTCGATACCGCGGTTCAGACTTTTGAGGGTACGGGGAATAATTCCGAACGCAAACCTACATTTTCTAAGCGCAGTTTATGTCACGCTTCTATTGCCTATCAGCTTCAGCTTGAGATTGCCGTTCACCTTGAGAACACAACCTAATTCTGACCATGAAATTTGTGGGCAGAAGTGATAAGTTCTTTCCGCTCTGGAACACACCGGTTAATGCTGAGCTTGTGAAGCTGCTGATCCGTGGTCAATTGCCCATCTCAATCAACACTGGATCTCATCGTTATCAGCAGCTCTTGCTGGTCCCAAGAGAACTGTATCAGCAATAACCAACTATGATGGAGTGCGCATATCCCGCTGAATGTTGGAACCTCCAACAATTGACAGAGAGCGCCGACAGAAAAATGAATGAATGACAGAAAAATGAAAAATGAAGATGACTTTCGCGACTGAAAGTAGTTTACTCCATTCCAGCTGCTCCTTAATTCATTTACAACAACTTCATTCTCAGATAAGAAACTGAAAAATTTTAGGAGCAGTTGACCCCATCAAGCCGACGTCAGCGAAACCACATGAATCTTGATGAAATGTCACACGATTTCCTCATTGACAGCGGGAGTCCAAGGTGAAATTGTATTGCGTCAGCACAACAAAATACCTAATACAGACGGTCTCTACACTACACTCTTTACATGTGATGAAATTCATTGGGCTAACCCAGCGATTTTGCTTCAGAATATCCTAAATATAGGCAGACTGCCTGAAGGATGAAACTCTCCAACGATGACTCTAATTTGTAAAAATGGTTGAAGAACTGCAACATATTAGCCGTGCCTTCCAAGCTCCTCTCAATGACACACGCAATGACAGTGTGTGGCGACGAAATGTGTCCTTTCCAAACTCTAGAGGTCTCCTTCCTTGGCAAGCTCACTGCTGAGTCTACCATATCAAGTTGTGTCTGATGAGAATGCCCTCTGATGCTGTTTCCATTAAACTTTGTAATCAGTGTGCTGCTTGGGCCTTCTTTACCTGCCCTTATCGGCCTATCGGCTGAAACACTACCAGTGTTTGTCCAAGAACAGTGATATATTTCAAATAACCTAGCAAATTCTGCTGAACTCTTCGGAGTGCACTGCAAAGTTTGAAGTGCTCCTGGAAGACCGGATGGTGAAATTTTCAAGCTCCGCTCATAGAGATGACGTACAAGTAACAACAATTGTTGCACCGTCCCATTGGCGCAACTGCACCAACTTTCGTTTACCGATCTGGTTGAATCGGAAGAAGATGCAAAATGGACCTACTTGCTGCATTCTATTCCCAACATCGGTAAGGTTAAAGATTCAAGCTTTTATTTTCACCAATTTCCTTAGCAAAGTTTGCGTCTAGTCAAATAACCTCGACCCTAATAATATGACTCATATGGTCCCAGAAAATTCTGTGCACTTTCGCCCTTCTTGGGAATCATCAGGTTAATCTGGCTTTCCATATTTCACCCTAATTTCTGTTTAGAACTCACTGCCGGAACAGTATAAACAAAAATTGCAGCCGAATTTCAGCTGAATACTTCATAAGCACCTACATCTAATCATGTTCTGTATACAGCTGTTTGGAATATCCTCATGCATGACAGCTTCCCGCTTAACCTATGAGTCCTTGGCCACGTCTTCGTACGCACGATGAAACCAACGAGTTATTAGTGTAACGGTGATAATACTGATGGGGGAGACATGTGAGTAGTATGTTCCCGTATAAATCCGCTTTGCGTCTCTTGAAAATTGAGATCTGTTGCGGAATTTGTGGAGCCGATTTGTAGCATTCGCTTGGATTTGTGCAACGGTCAATGGATATTCAAGAAAGTTCAGAAAGACGCGTTCAAAGAGAAGATGGTTATTCAGTTTTTGTAAACAAGATGCATATGACAGTTTTGTTTCCTGTCCAATAGTTTGTAACTGTCCAGCTGGAAATTTCTAATAAATAACTTCGCAGCGAAGGCCTTTCTCCTTTCGTGAGTATAAGTGAAGCGGGTTAAAATAATATTGTACGATAGAGAGTATTGAACGCTCGACTGATTTTCCTGATCGGACAGTTTGCTAGATTTAATCTGAAGACCCTGGTCGAAGTTGTTGGTGAGACGGATTACGTCGACCTTATCCGTTGGAGTAATGTATACATCAGCGGATCCCAGATGAGCGAGAAGTGATATTTGCCAACGTAACCTCGAAGACTAGCTGGAATAATCTTGAGCCAGCGAAATGACATATGCCGTCTGCAGCAAAATCTACCTAGTCTAATTAATTTACCTTATTTCACGAGATAAGCCGCCCATTTCTCGTTTTTTCTGTACTGTGGCACTGTGGCGTCTGTCATTAAACGTCATCGCTAGTAGTTAAACCACCTTTTATGGCTACTACGAATTGTATATTAATATCCAGATGCCTACAATGTCACATTTGAAGTTTGCACCCAGTTATTTCTTTACTTCTCTTCTTTCCACCTGAAGACGTGCGCCATATTTTCTTTTGATTCTATTGATGAGTTGTTGATTGCAGCCGTTCAACAGCATCTGGATGCAATGCTTAGTTCCGCGGCAGAACATCTGCTATTCATCATTCCACATCAGCTTGTGAAAATCAGTTGCCTTTCTTGATAGAGTTAGTTTTACAATCCCGTTTGAATCCATTATCTCCGTGTAAAAGCTTAATCTGTTGTTAGCTAGTTGTCCAAACACTGGAAAAATCACTGTTCGCCAACCGATAGACCGTGTTTCTGACGTCAGGCCTTCTTCTGATTTCAGTGCAGGCCTATCGGATCACGATTCTTTTTGGCCAGTGTCGATATAAGTTAGTGTATTTGTACGCAAACACACTTAAGTGCATCGATCCATGTCCTAGGGAACCAAAACTGCGGCAACTTTACTCAAAGTAGTTTTTTGACAATAAAAATCTACTAAGCTCGATCAGCCAACTGAGATTCCGCTATTTTCCTTTTAAGCAACAAGTAAGAAAGACCATATTGGGTGCACAACCATTAACCCACCGCTACGCACAACTACGGGCTGATGATGTCACCTCGTTTGGTGATGAAACGTTTGCAACCAAGTTGCCAAGCTCAACGAACAAGCTAACGACCAAGAACATGAATGTTAGCGAAATACACTCATTTGCATACCTATTCGGTTTTGAAGAGACACTCAACTGGAACCCAGCTGAATCCCTTTTTTATGATGCTTCCAAGCAACTGAGTGCGTTGCACTAGGCCGCTTCATGTTTCGGTTGACACGATATTCGAGATGTCGCGATACATTATATAGACTATTCATAAGGTTGCTGAAAACTTTTCAACAACCTAAAACCGGTCTCGTTCTTGTTGAGGCTCATTGTGTGAACGCAGTTCCCAAGTTTCCGCCAACCTCGCATTCCGCTTGAACCCAAAATGCTTATGAATATCATGAACAAGAAATTTAGCTGGGTTCCAGGTGGGTCTTCGAACAAAATTAATCGGTATGCAAATGAGTGAATTTCGCTAATTCTCCGAAACAGTTGACGGAAACACATAGGTTATTTATGTTTGCTTAACAAAGCCAGTTAGTTCTAAACGGTGGCTTGTTTACACAGGCAGGAATTGTCTTCTAATCTACCTGGGCATTTGGGCTTGTGTTGATTACGGCCGTTACCAGCGGATGACGTCAGTAGTCGGATGCCATGTTTCCCGGTGAGTTATACGGTACTGAGTTCAGATGCGGAATAGATTTATTTCCTCTGATCGTTGGCTGCCGCTGAATTGGGCTTGTACGAAGACACCACTCCACAAAAACGCAAGAGCAACATCAGTAACATAACATATGTGACGTCGCCTACATGTGCCACCAGCCAAGCAATTATTAGGGCCATGTCCAAATCTCTTGAAACAGGTATTTATGTTTTCATCTAATTAAATTTGATTAACGGCTAAATTCTGATGGGGCGCTGACGACTAGATAAGCAGTAAACCCACTCTGTGCTGCCAAAAAAAACCAACTATCCGAAGGCCCATGAACGTGGAAATTGAAAAGCACCTTTCTTGTCAAAAAGGTTTTAAGCTCACTTACAAACGACGAAGCCCTAAATTGTACCCAAAGTTCTTGGAGGATTCGTGATAGGCTGAGTTGCGTTCGGACCATTATTCTACGAGCCGGTGCACTGGGAGAGTTACCAAGCTGTGAACACCGGAGTACATCTTTGATCCATCTTCCATCCATCCCTGGCAGATTATCGGGTGAACATTTTAATAAATTTATAGAATAGGTCCAAACAATTGCGAGCCTTAAACAGTTTACGAAAACGCGACCCAGCCGTAGGCTTAAAATGCTTAGGGTATTTGGGTCAAACAGGCTTCTTTGGGTACCTGAAGTCTCGAAATGATCCAAACACGGAACTGTGGTTTTATGGTCAGAGGGCCTAGTGTATCAAAGTACGCCCGCACTCCTTAAAGGCCACTAAAAGAGGCAGCTCCATAGTTCAGCACTTATTGATCAGAAAGAACCACGAACTTTTGCTTCGAGATGTCCTAAATCAGTTAAGAAATGTCGGTCTATCCGAGTTCTTACCCAAAACTCAAGGGATGTATTAGCAAAGGACTGAATCTGGATACGATTGGTGACAGCCATGGCGACTCAAAAAGTGCGCAGAAATAGGAAATGGACAGTACAGTATTGTGGGTAGGCCATTGCAAAAAAGCGATGCTTACTTACCGAAGGAAGGTGCGGAGTGGACAACCGTCTGACAATGAATTAAGGGAAGTCACCCACATGGTTATACAAGTACACATTGGTAAATAACTTATCACCAAAGAAACTTGCTCAACGAGCTCCCCTTTCAAAGGCAAGTTTTGATGAGATTTTGGATGAGTAGTGCCCGTTGGTCACCCAAATATCCTAAAACCGGTCTCGTTCTTGTTGAGGCTCATTGTGTGAACGCAGTTCCCAAGTTTCCGCCAACCTCGCATTCCGCTTGAACCCAAAATGCTTATGAATATCATGAACAAGAAATTTAGCTGGGTTCCAGGTGGGTCTTCGAACAAAATTAATCGGTATGCAAATGAGTGAATTTCGCTAATTCTCCGAAACAGTTGACGGAAACACATAGGTTATTTATGTTTGCTTAACAAAGCCAGTTAGTTCTAAACGGTGGCTTGTTTACACAGGCAGGAATTGTCTTCTAATCTACCTGGGCATTTGGGCTTGTGTTGATTACGGCCGTTACCAGCGGATGACGTCAGTAGTCGGATGCCATGTTTCCCGGTGAGTTATACGGTACTGAGTTCAGATGCGGAATAGATTTATTTCCTCTGATCGTTGGCTGCCGCTGAATTGGGCTTGTACGAAGACACCACTCCACAAAAACGCAAGAGCAACATCAGTAACATAACATATGTGACGTCGCCTACATGTGCCACCAGCCAAGCAATTATTAGGGCCATGTCCAAATCTCTTGAAACAGGTATTTATGTTTTCATCTAATTAAATTTGATTAACGGCTAAATTCTGATGGGGCGCTGACGACTAGATAAGCAGTAAACCCACTCTGTGCTGCCAAAAAAAACCAACTATCCGAAGGCCCATGAACGTGGAAATTGAAAAGCACCTTTCTTGTCAAAAAGGTTTTAAGCTCACTTACAAACGACGAAGCCCTAAATTGTACCCAAAGTTCTTGGAGGATTCGTGATAGGCTGAGTTGCGTTCGGACCATTATTCTACGAGCCGGTGCACTGGGAGAGTTACCAAGCTGTGAACACCGGAGTACATCTTTGATCCATCTTCCATCCATCCCTGGCAGATTATCGGGTGAACATTTTAATAAATTTATAGAATAGGTCCAAACAATTGCGAGCCTTAAACAGTTTACGAAAACGCGACCCAGCCGTAGGCTTAAAATGCTTAGGGTATTTGGGTCAAACAGGCTTCTTTGGGTACCTGAAGTCTCGAAATGATCCAAACACGGAACTGTGGTTTTATGGTCAGAGGGCCTAGTGTATCAAAGTACGCCCGCACTCCTTAAAGGCCACTAAAAGAGGCAGCTCCATAGTTCAGCACTTATTGATCAGAAAGAACCACGAACTTTTGCTTCGAGATGTCCTAAATCAGTTAAGAAATGTCGGTCTATCCGAGTTCTTACCCAAAACTCAAGGGATGTATTAGCAAAGGACTGAATCTGGATACGATTGGTGACAGCCATGGCGACTCAAAAAGTGCGCAGAAATAGGAAATGGACAGTACAGTATTGTGGGTAGGCCATTGCAAAAAAGCGATGCTTACTTACCGAAGGAAGGTGCGGAGTGGACAACCGTCTGACAATGAATTAAGGGAAGTCACCCACATGGTTATACAAGTACACATTGGTAAATAACTTATCACCAAAGAAACTTGCTCAACGAGCTCCCCTTTCAAAGGCAAGTTTTGATGAGATTTTGGATGAGTAGTGCCCGTTGGTCACCCAAATATCGACCACGTTGAAGCGAACGCCTCCGGTGAAGTGAACCCCACGGCTGAGTGAGTTCAGGTTGACAGAACAATTGAGAGGTGGGGACGATGTAGCAGCTTAGATCCAGGCGTTATGGAATAGACCCTCCTGACTGCGCTCTATTAGAATGACTGAGCAAGTGGTCTGTGTAAATTTTAAAAGGGGATGCGGTGAAACGGCTCTTAGGGTTGGAAACACTCATTTATGATGGAAATTACTCAGGAAATTCCTGAAAACACTTTGAAGCCCACCATCAGTTTCACCATTCTTTGGGCTCATCAGGTAGGCGGGCTCCGAGTTTCCGCCGAATTTCTGTTATACTTGAGTCCAAATTGGACAGAATAGACTCATTTACAAATCAATTTGATTTGCACGGAAAGTCAACCCAGGCTCTAGTTTGTGATATTCTTCTGCTGAATGTGAGCAGCCCCCTTTATTCAAATATACTGCGTTATCTCGAATATCATGCCGAATAATGTGCAGCATATTATCTGAAGAATATCACAAACCAGCGATTCGATTGAGTCTCCCTTGAAAGCCAAATTGATTTGTAAACGAGTGTGATGATCAACTACAATCATTCATAATCGTGGTTGATGTTTTGCCACCAGCATTAACGAGGATTTTAAGTTCTGTGGAACGATCACGGTAAAATGATGGAACATAACAAATCCACACCAACTTATTTCAAGATTGTGAGTTATCACCCATAGAAGCGCACTCAGATCGTACCACTTTGGTGACTCGACCAGCTACACGCATTCCCCGACTGTGATATGTACTCATTGCTATTGGGAGTATGGGTTGTTAGCCAAGTGATCTCTTTTCTGGCTACACGATGTAGGTTTCATCACCTAACCCAGCGAATACAAGGTTTTCATATCACTTGGTGTCAGTAGCACAGAGAGCTAATTTTCGACCGATTCTTTAGTGTTACTCTGTCACCCTACGAGGGTTGTTGTGTACGACCATCATTCGAGGTATGAACTTTGAATGTTGCGTCAAAACTCAGGCATTATACAGTAAATACAATATAATGAATAAGTAGAACTTTTTGTTACACGGAAGATGAACGCTGACAACACCTCAATAAGAGTCCCGATGGATGCCAAAATAACAACTCAAGAACTAAAGTGAACAAATAAGCCGGTGAAGGCCAGTAAAAATGTCTGAACTTTAAAGGTACGTCGTTCAGCTGAAGGTCGTCCATAGCACACAGAATCGACGCTTCTTAGCCCAAAAAATAAATTTACCATAGGAAAGTGCAAATTGTACAGCAACGTAGTACAACCAATGGGATGATGTGGCTTGTGCTTTTTATTTGTCTAAGTTTTTCCCTGTTCTCATGCAGTCGGTTCTCACATTAAGGCGGGCTCCGAGTTTCCGCCGAATTTCTGTTATACTTGAGTCCAAATTGGACAGAATAGACTCATTTACAAATCAATTTGATTTGCACGGAAAGTCAACCCAGGCTCTAGTTTGTGATATTCTTCTGCTGAATGTGAGCAGCCCCCTTTATTCAAATATACTGCGTTATCTCGAATATCATGCCGAATAATGTGCAGCATATTATCTGAAGAATATCACAAACCAGCGATTCGATTGAGTCTCCCTTGAAAGCCAAATTGATTTGTAAACGA